CACGAGGCGGCGCCGATACAGTCATCAATGTAACGGAGGAAGACGTGGGGTTTAGGGCCAGTGTAGGTATGGAAGAGGGATTGTTCCACGTAACCTAGAAAGAGGCAGGCATAGCCTGGGCCCATGCGGGTACCCATTGCCACCCCCTTTGTCTGTAGGAAGTGGGAGGAATTGAAAGAAAAGTTGAGGGTGAGGATGAGTTCGGCTAAGTGGATGAGGGTGTCAGTGGAGGGGGACTGGTCGGGCCTGCGGGACAGGAATTTTGTTATTGCGGAGAGGGGGTGTGAGGGATGAGTTGCGGGAAATGCAGGAGGCACGGTTGAGGGCATTCTCAATTTTGTTACTGTGGGGAACAGCAACTCATATTCCGCTTGGGAGCCCTGCAGCCTAATGGTATCAATGTGGACTTCACAAGCTTCAAAATCTCCCCTCCCCCTACCACATCCCAAAACCAGCCCAGCTCGTCCCTGCCTCCCTAACCTGTCCTTCCTCCCACCTATCCCCTCCTCCCACCTCAAGCCTCAACCTCATCTCCTACCTACTAACCTGTCCGTCCTCCCTGGACTGACCTATCTCCTCCCTACCTCCCCACCTACACTCACCTTTACTGGCTCCATCCCCGCCTCTTTGACCGGTCTGTCTTCTCTATCCATCTTCTATCCGCCTCCCCCCTCCCTATTTATTTCAGAACCCCCTTCCCCTCCCCCCTTTCTGAAGAAGGGTCTAGGCCTGAAATGTCAGCCTTCCTGCTCCTCTGATGCTGCTTGGCCTGCTGTGTTCATCCAGCTCTACACCTTGTTATCTCAGAAACATTTTACATTTGGCATAATGGCAAATCAGAAAGCTTTGGTCATTTCACTCAACTAAAAAACTTGCTTACACGTGACAGAATGAGCCTTATTACTTTTGCAGATTCACATAACCTGATGGAGTGATTCTGCCATTTTGCTTTTTATTCTAAAACATTCAAATAGAAAGAAACAAAGAAATTTGCCTTTCTATTTTTTCCCCAAGTGTGCCAAATTGTTGGCTCTTCTACTGAGAAATTCTAAGCCATACAATCCCTCCTGCTTTGTTGCTATAACTAGAATTATGGAACAATGGGCAATGTTGGTGAAAGAATTTGGGGTTTCTGGTTCTTTAAATTATTCCCCAAAATAAAATCAATTCAAGCTTAATTTTTTGGAAATTTTAGCACTTTTTGAAACTGAATTTTTAAAAACATTTGTTCAGGAATGTGAGTATCACTGGGTAAGTGAGCATATAAATTACCCATCCCTGACTGCTCAGAGGGAACACAAGAGTCAACCACATATTCCAGTGGATCTGGTGTCAGACGTAGGCCACAGCAGTTAAGGACAGCCGTTTAATTTCCCAAAGGACATGAGCTAATTTTTTTGGCGAAAGGACATGGGGAAGCGATGGTCTAGTCGTATTATTGCCAGACTATTAATAACCCGAGCTACAGATCTACTCCAAACCTTTATTAATGTTCTGGTAACCCAGGGTTGAATCCTGCCATGGCAAATAATGGAATTTGAATTGATTTGAATTATTAACCATGAAACCGTTGTCGATTGTCAGAAAAAACCCCATCCTCTTCAGTAATATCGTTGACGGAAGGAAAATTGGCCATCCTCATCTTGGCAGTCCTCAACATTGACTCCTGATCCCATGAAGTCTCATGGCTTCAAGTTAAACATGGGCAAGGAAAAAACCCTCCTGCTGATTACCACGTACTGTTGATGAATTAGCATTCCTCCATTTTGAATAACACTTGGAGGAAGTACTGAGGGTAGCAAGAGCACAAAATATACTTTGGTGGGGGATTTTCATGTCCACCACCAAGAGTGGCTCAGCAGCAACATTACTGATTGAACTGGTTGGGTCCATGAAATAACTGCACAGAAACCAGGGTCCATCACCAAGTCATCCTTCGTTTACTAGTGCACAATATAGGAGGCTGTGGTCAGCCAGCTCACAGTCACTCCTCAACTAAGGAGATTCTAGTCTCCTGGTTATATTAGTCAGCCAAGGCTTTCCTGATTGGCCCAGGTTAACAACCCCAACCGAGGATCTCGTACTTAATGAGATCTACCTGGTTCCAATCACTGCAGCCCTAAAGCACATAAACTGCTTGACTGAGTCTGAAAGAGGGAAAAACATACTTGGCTTTATTCTGTTCAACCCGCCGGCTGAAGATCTCTCCATGACAGTATGGGTAAGAGTGACCACCGCACAGTCCTTGTGAGGTGAAGTCCTGCCTTCACATTGAAAATAACCTCCATTATGTTGTGTGGCAATATCACCGGGAGAAATGGGACAAACTTCAAAAAGATCTAGCAACTCAAGGGTGGGCATCCATGAAGCACTGTGGGCCAACAGCAGAATTGTTTGCCAGCATATTCTGCAACCCCATGGCTCGGCATATCTCCCACGCAATCATTACCATCAAGCCAGGGGATCAACCCTGATTCAATGAAGTGTGCAGGAGGACATGTCAGGAACAGTACCAGGCATACCTGAAAATGAGGTGTCAACCTGGTTAAACTACCAAACAGGACCACTTGCATGCCAAACAGCAGAGGCAACAAGATAGAGTCAAGCAATCCCACAGCCAAGAGAACAGATATAAGCTCTGTAGCCACATTTAGTCAGGAATGGCGGTGGACAATAAAATGACTCACTGGAGGAGGAGAATCCACAAATATCCCATCCTCAATGATGGAAGATCCCAACACAATAGTGTAAAAGATAACACCGAAGCATTTGCAGCATCCTTCAGTTAGAAATGCCAAGTGGATGATCTATCGCGGCTACTCCAGTAGTCCCCAGGATTACAGATACCAGTCTGCAGCCAATTTGATTCAGTCCATACGATATCAAGAAATAGTTGGAGACACTGGATACGGAAGAGGCTACAGGCCCTGACAACATTCAGAAAACGTTTTCTCCAGAACTTGTTGTTTCCCCTAATCGAGCTCTTCCAGTACAGCTATAACATTGGCATTTACCCAACAATGTAGGAAATTGCCCAGGTATGGCCTGTACAGAAAAGGCAGGACAAATCTAACCCAGCCAATTGATGCCTTAATAGTCTGGTCTCGATCATAAATAAAGTGATGGAAGCTGTCATCAACAGTGCTATCAAGCAGCACCTGCTCAGCACTGTTGAGTGATGCCTCGTTTGGGTTTTGCCAGGGCCACTCAGCCCGACCTCTTACAGCCTTGCTTCAAATGTGGTTAAAATAGCTAAATTTGAGAGGTGAGGTTGAGAATAACTGCCCTTGACATCAAGTCTGTATTCGACTGAATGTGGCAACAACAAGCCCGCAAAACTGGAATCAATAGGTATTAGGGGCAAAATCTCTGCTGATTAGAGTCATACCTGGCACATAGGAAGATAACTGTGGTTGTTGGATGCCAGTGTCCACAGCTCCAGGACATTTCTGTAGAAGTTCCTCAGGATAGGGTCAGAGGCCAATCTTCAGCGTCTTGATCAACAACCTTCCCTCCATCAGGAGGTCAAAAGCGGGAATATTGGCTGATCATTGCACTATGTTCAGCACCGTTCGTGACTCCTCAGGTACTAAAACAGTCTATGTTCAAATGCAACAAGATCTGGACAATATCTGGGCATTGGCTGACAATGACAAGTAAACATTCACAACATACAAATGCCAGGCTATGACCATCATCAAAAACAGAGACAATCTAACCACTGCCCATTTACATTCAATGGTGTTGCCACCACCAAATATCCCACTACTAACTTCTTGGGGGTTAGCATCAACCAGAAATTCAACTGGGCCTGCTACATCAACAGTGGTTACAAAAGCAGGTCAGAGGTTAGGAATACTGCAGCAAGTAACTCACCTCCTGACTGCCCAAAGCCTGTCCACCAACGACAAGGCACAAGTCAGGAGTGTGCTGGAACACTTCTCTCTTGCCTGGATGGGTGCAGCTCCAAAAACACTGAAGAAGCTTGATACTAGCCAAGACAAAGCAGTCTGCTTGATTGGCATGACATCCATAAATATCCACTGCCTCCATCACAGATGCTCAGTATACACTGCTGCTACCTACAAGATACACTGCAGAAATTCAAAGATCCTCAGTCAGCACCTTCCAAACCCACAACCACTTCCATCGAGAAGGACAAGGGAGCTGATACATGGGAATACCAACACATGCAAGCTCCCCTCCAACCACTCACCACCCTGACTTGGAAACCAATTGCCATTCCTTCACTGTTACTAGGTTAAATCCTGGAATTCCCTCCTGAATGGCATTGTGGGTCAACCCACAGCATTGGACTACAGTGATTCAGGAAGACTGGTCACCACCAACTTATCAAGGGCAACTAGGGATGGGCAATAATGTAAGCATCACTGGCTAACATCTCATTAATTAATTAAAAAAAGTTTAGAAAGGACTTTTAAACAGAAGTAGCTGTCTACACTTCCTCAACTGCTGGCTAGCCAAACCAGCACACCCTCACGAAAGAAATCCACACTACTAACCTCAACTTTGGACTTTTGATTCCACTTGAAAAAGAAAGGACATTGATTGATATTTTCTAATAACTCTGTTCAGAGGCACGGTGGGACATGGATTAAGGTCTTCTGGCTCAGGGATACAACCAGTTAGTGATTGAATACACTCTGATGCTATTTCAATTTTGTAGCTCCTTATATGTTTCTAAGTGTGTCTGTACTGTGAGCTTGCCCCACATCTAAGAAGTGTGTGAGAAATCCATCCTTTGGAGGTTTACTTTACCACTACAGGTGCAATCCATGTCACTAGCCATAAAGAGAGAAGAAAATACCCACTATTTAAAAAGGGGGAAATGGAAATAATCTGTTTATAGACAGGTGGGGAGAACAAGGATAGAGACTTGTTATAAAACTCGGATTCTGTCTGTGATGCACTGAAGTTGCAAATAGGATCAACAAGTGCCAAACAATACTCCATAGTGAAAGCAAACTTAGAGCATAAGCTTAAAATAAGCAAAAGCAGCACAAGCTGCAACCACACACCCATGTTGGCCAGTCCAGTACCTCTGGAATCCACATTCCCAATATATCACTATCACTTGCAAAGTCCTGACCAAACATGGCTTCCATGGCTTCATCATCCAGGTCAATCTCCAATTCTTCATCGAGGTTAAAGTCATAGAGGGCAGCTGGGTCTTGTGCCATTGACATCCCCTCTCGCCGGCTTTGGTTTCGATGAGCCTGAACTGAACGGTACAATCCTGCTGCAATTTTAAAGTGAAAAGTGCTTTATCAAATTATTAGGCACCAATGCAATGTGAATAAAAAATAATTGATTCACAAACAAAAATGCATAAAAATAGGTATTTATTTTATCTTGGCTCTCAAATGCAATGCAAATAATCCAACTGCACTCTACACTTCAACTTTCTAGATTAACTCACGGTTAGTCAGCATTCTTCACAAAGGGGGTTAACCAAGCACACAGAGAAATTTTCTGTTTAAGGTGAAAGATTGGTGCATGAATGTTTGAATCACCTGCACGTGCTAACAGAGTCCGAGCTGCAGCCTCAAACTTTTGCCTCCTAGTTACAGTTGAACGGTTTCTGGAAGAAGATGCATTGGTAGATGAACCATTTTCTTCTTGATCCAATTGATTTGGGCTGCAAAAAACATGAAGCATAACTCACTGGAAGTCCAAACATTTAAACAAACATAGCTTTGGTTCATTGTAATTGTTGGCTATGTTTCTTTTAGCAAAACATATCAAAGTTTCAGCAAGATTCCATCAAAAATGTCTCCTGCAGGATTTACTTTTTGCATCCAATTATTTTATACAAGTGAACTCTAAAATCATTGCAAAAAAACACTCAACTTGTTGGATATGTGAAATAAGGCTTCATCATTCTCTCAACTGCCAGTCTGGTATTCTAATGGGTCATGACAAAGGCCAAAAGAATGACTGGTTTTATTCTATGGTTGAGCAGGCTTTAAGGTTTCGAAAGCCAGCTCCTTAGTCCAATGTTCTCATGCATACCTTTAAAATTTTGTTGAATTTTTATGCTGAGAAGAATAAATATTGTAATATGAATTTGGGTTACACAATGCAAAATTTGGTTGATGACAGGCACAGTATGCTGTCTGAATGTTGAGGCTTATCATTTCTCTAAAGGAACATTTTTAAGGTGTTAAATGCTCTTTTCAGGGCAACTTTTACAAGACATAACCATAAAATTGTCCAATTCAAGTTTTTAAAATTAGCTAACATGAAATATCAAAAGTCACAAACATACCTTTCACTGAACCCTTCCTCCAGCTCTGTGGCATCAACAGAAGGTATTTCTCCAGGTGATTGGAAATAGCCCTGATCTCTGGACTTATCACCACTGCCTGTAGCAGTTGCCCCATGGCATGAATCTGAAGTGATTGCAGACGGTGGCTCGTTATCTTCTTCTGTACTTGGGTGTTCTATCATCCACATTGCCAAAACTGTAATATTCTGGGCATCTGCTTCTCCTCTGGCACCTAATACAGTTTTTATACCAAAACACAGAACTTAGAATTTAAAAAAAAAACCCTTCTAAAAATCATAGTAAGCTCAAAACCTTGTTATTTAATAATCTATTTTTGAATGATAATCCAATGCTGTCAAACAAGGGGAATCTGATAACTATTACCTGAAGGAATATGCAACATATCTCCTATGTAAGGCCTCTCGGGGTCCATGTCCATAGAACCCTTAAAGATTTACAAGGATGTTACAAAGACTGGAAGTTTTCAATTATAAGATAGGCTGGAATGTTTTTCCCTGGCACGCAGGAGGCTGAGGGGTGACCTTACAGGTGTTTAGAAAATCATGAGAAATATAGATCGGATGAATAGCCAGGGTCTCGTCCCAAGGTAGGGGAGTTCAAAACTATAGGGCATAGGTTTAAGGCGAGACCGGAAAGATTTGAATGTGACTTGAGGGGCAACTTTTCTCACAGAGGATGGTGCGTACATGGAATGAGTTGCCAGAGGAACTGGCAGAGGATGATACAATTAAAATATTTAAAACCCATTTGGACAGATACATGGATAGGAAAGGTTTAGATATGGGCCAAATGAAGGCAAGTGGGACTAATTCGGTTCAGGACATCTGGTTAGCGTGGACGTATTGGGCCAAAGGGCCCGTTTCCATGCTGTTTGCCTCTGTGATTCTAATATTTAGATGTGCACTTGGAATCGGAAGTCATACAAGGTCATGGACCAAATGCTGTAGAATGGGATTAGACTAGTTAATAATCAACGTAACCAGGAGATCAAAAAGAGAGAAAAAATATAATCAGGAAATGGACCCACTTGTGGCACAGTGGTAGTGACTCAGATTTCTGGGTTCAAGTCTCACCCGATCCAGAGGTGTATAATAACATCTCTGAACCGATTGATTCAAAAAACAGGTTAAATAAAAAATGCATCCCTTTACCAGCTTGATTTCAATTCGAGAGAATTAGATTAAATTAAAAAGAAAACACTCTTGCAACCCTTCCTTCCCCACCGTGGTTTCAATTCCATTTTAAAAAAAATCCAGGAGATGAGCGTCTTGTGGCATAGGTGCGCCTACGCGTGGACTGAGAATCCTGGGTTCAAGTCCCATCTGCTCTAGGGGTGTGTAATAACATCTCTGAATAGGTTGATTAGGCCAATAGGTATAACCAGGAGATTAGAATCGCCTCAGTTCAAGGGACTGATACAAACCTGGATGGCCACAGCCAGTGTACTGTGCACAAGTAAATAAAGGGTGATTTGGTGACAGGACCAGCTTCTGTCCAGTTATTTCAGAGGCGAAAGGAGAAAACAGGACATGCCTGAACAACGTTCGCTCGCAGCAGTTGTCTTGGAGTTAGGTTAAGTATTTCTGGCATTATGCCTTTATTCAGGAAGCCTGACTCATTTGATCCTGCTGTCGAAGACTGTGCCCAGTATGTGGAAAGAACGCAATATTTTTTGCGGGCAAATAACATTGGGGCAGATGAAAAGCAACGAGTAATCCTTCTGACTGCTTGCGGACCTGCAGCATTTTCAGTTATAAAGGGCTTAACTTTCCCAGAGGCATGAGATACTAGAGTTGACGGAGTTGCTTAAAGAATATTACGACACCAAACTTCCTCTAATTCTGAGACCCGATTGGTTTTACTCGACTGAGCTTGGGGAACACCATTTGAACGTAGGCCTCACTAGAGCCTCATGCAAGGCATAGGGGCCCTAGGCCAGCCCACAGCATAACCTCACAACAAAGGCGAGCCTCGACCAAGTGGCAAAAATGTTCTTCAGGATCTGGGCCGGCAAGCCTCTGTAATTGGTGCCGGTGTGCGGACTCAAGACAGTAAAGGAGTCCTACGAGTAAGAAAACTTGCAGGCTGGTACCCATGAGATTGCATTCCCTGCAAAGCCCCTCAAAGTTGGAACAATTAAATTGCGACTGACATCCAAATCGGAACCGATTGAAATTAATGTATGGTTAAATGGCCACCTAGTTTCCATGGAGATCAATACCAGTGCAGCTTTAATCGGTGGTTGCAGAATCTTTAACAAAATTCGGTCGGGACTCCAACCCTTAAGTTTGTGAAAGACCTCAGCCAGACTGAGAACATACACTAGGGAACCATTGCAGATGAACGGTACAACTTCAGTTCCGGTCTCCAATGGGAAGCAGTTCATGCAGTTACCACTAATAGAAGTGAAAGGCTCAGGCCTAAGCCTATTGGGGTGGAATTGTTTGAGGAAGATTCACCGAGATTGGCTCAACATTTTTTGATTAGAAAATCGCTGCCTCAGTGAAGTCCTAGTGAAATACCCAGGAGTATTTCAGCAAAGGCTTGGGACTATCACTTGGGGGCAGAGCCACTTTACATGTTGACCAGGAAGCAATTCTGAAATTTTTCAAGGCCCACCTAGTGCCATTTGCCTTACAGGCAAATATAGAGGTGGAGATCAGGAGGCTGGAGAGCGAAGGAATCATGAACCCAACGCAGCTTGCAAAATGGGCAACACTGGTTGTGCCGATTGTGAAGCCTGACGACTTGGTTTGCCTTTGTGGGGATTTTAAACAAACGGTAAGCTACATCTCGTAGCTGGATCAATACCCGATCTCTCGCATAGAGGACTTTTACACAAAGTTTGCGGGGTGGGGGGGGGGGGAGGGGGGGGGGGGGGGGTGGGGGGGGGGGTGGGGGTGGGGTGCTGTCCTTTACGAAGCTGGACATGAGCCATGCCTACCTGCAATTGCGACTGGATGAGGAGTCCCAAAAGTATGCTGCAATAAATACCCATAAGGGCTTATATCAGTATACAAGACTGCCATTGAAGGTATATAAGCCTGCGTCCTTTTCCAGCAGAACATTTTACAAGGGCTACCCCAGATTATCATTTATCTGGATGACATGCTAATAACTGGGAAGACCAATAAAGAGCACTTGGAGAACTTGGACATAGTGCTTAAACATTTCTCCAGGCAAACGTATGCCTTAGGTGGGAAAAATGTGTGCTCCAGGCACCCGAAGTGACCTACTTGGGTTAGAGTCAACAAAACCAGGTTACACCTGCTGGAAGATAACATGAACGTGAGCAAAGGAGCCGTGGCTCCCACATCTGTACGAGAGCTTAGGTCTTTCTTTGAGTTACGGAAAATTCATACGTAATCTGGTCTCCATCTTGGCACCTTTACACCTGCTACAGAAAAAGGGTCAGCCTTAGAAATCGTTGTGTAGCCAAGGAGGAAGTGAAAATACAGTTATCGTCATCTAAGGTGTGGGCCAAGTACGATCCAAAGCGAGAGGTAGTGCTGACACGCGATGCCTCTGCATACAGTATCAGGGTAGTGTTGGCTCACTGGTGGCCCAACGGGGAGGAATGCCCAACAGCATAAGCTTCCCAGACTTCAGCTGATGCTGAACACAAGTATGCCCAGATAGAGAAAGTAGGTTTGCTAGTCATCTTTGGTGTGAGGAAGTTCCACCAGTACCTTCATGGATTGGAATTTTTCATAGTGACAGATTACAAACCCTGGTTAGGACTTACTGAAGGAAGACAAGGCAGTGCGATCCATGGTTTCTAGTAGAATTCAGAGTTGGGCCCTTATTCTCAGCACGTACAAATTAGAACACTGTCCAGGAAGCAAAGTGGCAAATGTGGATGCCTTAAGCCACCTCTCACTGGCATGTACTCCACCGGTGGTACCACCCCTGGAAGAGTCGGTTTTGGTTTTAAACTTCCTGGACACCCTTCCAGTCACCGCGGACACTATTCAACTGTGGACACACAAAAAAAAAATCCTGTCCTCACGAAACTAAAACAGCTGGTGGTAATGGGGGAAACAAAAGGGCCATCACAATCAGGATTTAAACCTTTCTGGGCCCGACGAGACCAGATCACTGAAGAGTACGGCAGGAAGCAAGGGTGACTGTCCCAAGTAAAGGTCACCGCCAGATACTGAACTCCACCAGGGTCATCCAGCGCTGTCCAGGATGAAGATGCTAGCAAAAAGCCATGTCTGATGGCCAAGGTTGGATGTGGACATAGCTGCGAAGGTGGGGCAGTGCCCAGATTGCTAACAAGGACAAAAATTACCTACATTTGTGGGAATGGCAAGGTTAACCCTGGACTCAGTTTTATGTCAACTATTTGATGGGCTGAAATATTTCTGGTCATTGTGGACGCCCATTCAAAATGGTTGGATGTGCATACAGTACGCTTGGCAAACTCAGACGACGATGGAGAAGCTGCGAGCATCGTTTGATATACATGGTCTCTTGGAAGTATTGGTCATGGACAATGGGTCATCATTTACCAGCAGGAAATTTGAATATTTCCTAAAGTCCAATGGCATTCAGCACATAAGGACAGCTCCTTACCAGCCATCGCCCAATGCTTTAGTGGAAAGAGCAGTTCCAACATTGAAGGCAGGCTTAAAGAAGCAGCCTGCAGTGTCGCTTAATACCAAATGGTCCCAGTTCCTATTCAACTGTAGGACCACTCCGCATACCACAATGGGAATAGCTTTAGCAGAGTTGCTGATGGGGAGAACACTCCGCAACAGGTTAAAGCTGATATTTCCAGACCTTGGTAGGGATGGTGAAAGTGCAGCAGGAACACCACTGCTGGCCACATGCCTCCTCTAAACGAGAGAGAGAGTATTTAATTCTGGGGATCTAGTTTGGTGCAGGAACATGGAAATGGCCCTGTATGGGTACGAGGCGAGGTCAGGTCCCGTGACTTACAAAGTTCGGGTAGGTGACGTAGCCCAGAACAAAAAAGTGCATCACCTGAAAGCTGGTACCTCGCAAACGGGGCAGGAGCAAAACATACCTGGCCCCTCAGAACAGCCCGAAGGGCTGTCAGAAACTGTAGGTTCTGCCCCTCTGTCTACTGTATGAGGAAACTTCAGAGTCCGAAATGAATACAGCCTCAATTCCGTTACCGCCGGAAGAGGAGGAGGAAACTCTCACGTGATTCTCCAGATGCAAGAGACGGGTGATGGTCCAGAACTCACCACCTCTGAGTCAAAGGAACCGGACCTGGGGCGAAAACGTCACAAGAAAAGCTACAGGAGAAAGGCCAGACCTACATCTCTGGACATACAGGAAGACGGATGTAGTGACTGGAATCACCTGGATGTTGTTGATTATGAGATCCTTGATTGGCCCAGGTTAACAACCCAAACAGGTAAGCCCTGGCTGACCAATATAACCAGCAAATTTAGCACCTCGTCAGTTCAGGGATCTGACTCCGAGTTGCTGGCCGCAGCCAGGGTACTGTGTGCAAGTCAATAAAGGGTGACTTGGCGACGGGATACCGGCCTCTGTGCAATTATTTCACTCATAGTTCTTGTATATGACAATCTTGCAATGAACATAGAATTTTGATTGCCACACCCCAAATGAAATCTGTCAAACACATATGAAGGTCAACGAAACTAATATTTTGCAATGATTACAACAGGAAGGCAACAGCTAGCAAGGCATGCTCAGATTCAATTTAGCATTGAGAGAACTGGTGGCTTCTGAACTGTTAACTTTCTAAGTAAAGACAGGGTCTTATCTGTAAGTCACAGCACCCTCTTAACATTGAAGCAATAACCGAGTAATACTGCCATTTCAGCAAGGCTTAGCATTTTCTATTTACCCTGCATGTAGATTGACAGAAAGACCTTGTCCGGTTCACTGAGAAGGCCACATTTAGAATACGTTGCGTCCCTTTGAGACAATGTCACATTGCAGTGTTACAACAAGGATGCCTTTAGAACTCAGTTATATAAGGAGAGATTGTCAGATGAGTTTGTTTTCTCTGGAGGAAATGGCCCAGGATTTGAAATGTCAGGCTATCTAACTATAGATGGAAGTTCAGTACCCGAGAATGGTGACACTAAATTAGGTCCTCCTCCTTTTCGTGGATCTAGTACATTTTATATTGCATTTTCTAATCCTGAATTTCTTCAACAAGAGATTGATCCATTACAAAATTGGAAGTTTGTCAGTTTGGTTTTAAGTGTATTATGTGCTCATTATTGTGTGAATTAAAATTTAATTACCTGTGGCTTCCATGGCTTTTGTAATCTGCCTCAGCGAAAAGCCCATTTCCAAAAGAGGCACAGCAATTGGAGGTGGTGGCGGCGAAGTTGAAAGTCTACTACTAGGATCAGATGAGGCTAACAAATAAAACAAAATTTAATTAGCTGGTGACAGTTTAAACATATTATTTAATTATTACTTTCTAATAAAGCTTGGTACAAAAGTTTGCTAGCTTTAAGGGAACATTAGTTGCTTCAGATGATGTTGCATAGTTGAGTTTTAAATATTTCATCAGAAACCTCAGACTTGCAATAAATTTGATTGATTGTCCTAAGATTTAAGAGGTCGTGACACACTGGCAATGTCTACACCAAGTCAGAAGACTAGTTTCAAGTCCCATCTGCTCCAGAGGTGTGTCATTACACATCAGGTTGATTAAAAATATCCAAGGAAATTTCATAAAACCCGTTCTCTACATGCAGTTAAAGTCTGATTTCACTTTTCTTCTCCTCTATGCCCAATCCCTTTTTGGAAATAATTTGTTAAGGTTTTTGGAGAAAGGAGCTCTACAATGGCTTGCTGTACTACAAACTGAACAAAATTAAGCAAAAAAGTCAAAGTTCAAAGTTCAAACTTGAAACCATCAAACCAATTTATTTTCAGACCAGATCGTGAGCAAAAAGCTGGATGTAATTGGTATCGGAAGAATAAGTTCATCATAGAATCACAGAATCCCTACAGTGTGGAAACAGGCCCTTCAGCCCAACAAGCCCACACCGACCCTTGGAGAATCCCATCCAGACCCGGAGATAGTAGGAACTGCAGATGCTGGAGAATCTGAACAAGGTGTAGAGCTGGATGAACACAGCAGGCCAAGCAGCATCAGAGGAGCAGGAAGGCTGATGTTTCGGGCCTAGACCCAGGGTCTTCCTGCTCCTCTGACGCTGCTTGGCCTGCTGTGTTCCTCCAGCTCTGCACCTTGTTATCCCATCCAGACCCATCTCCCTATAACCTACCTAAGCTACAATCCCTGAACACTACGGGCAATTTAGCATGGCCAATCCACCTAACCTGCACGTCTTTGGACTGTGGGAGGAAACCGGAGTACCCGGAGGAAACCCACGCAGACATGGGGAGAATGTGCAAACTCCACACAGACAGTTGCCTGAGGGTGGAATCGAACCCGGGTCCCTGGCGCTGTGAGGCAGCAGTGCTAACCACTGAGCCACCATTATTCATCTGAATAATGAATGTGTATTTTTTACAGGAGAAGATTCCCTCCGTCAGGTGACGGATACAAAGGATGAAATCATTATCAATAAGTTAATCTCCTGTTAAATATCAGTTTACTCAGACTATTTCTGTGTAATTATCAATCACAGATGTGTCAAAAATCTAAACTTATGCAATTCTGAACAAAGTTACATTTCAAAAATTCTTTACAAGAAAAGCCACCTGGGAGGAAGATCTGCTCTTTCCTGAGAACTTGACAAAGATCAAAAGATGAAACCAAATAAGCTCAATGTTAAAACAAATATAAATGAATTTAGCCCTTGAATTATGAAAATATTCTAAGCCTTCAAAATATGCAAGAAGCAGAGAGCAATTTAGGCTGAGTTCGGTGAAGGGGGGATGAAGTGGGGAGCTCCTGTTTGCTTTTTTAATCTACCTTTCTTCAAAACTGTCTAGCATTTTGTTCCTATTTCTATGCAGCAGAAGGTGCTGAAGGGTAATTACTATCAACTGTTTTACATATAATAAGTAGTCTGTATAAGTAAGATATGGTAGCGCAGCTTCGCTGAGTGAAAGGTACATTCGTGGCATGTGGGAAGTCATGGACATACATTTCAAGGAGGTGCTTTCAGTTACACAAGCTTGAATTCGAAGTTTCAGAACTTTAGTACTACAGGCAGTTCACATGGTCAATGGAGGGAGGAAAGAAAAAGTAGAAGAACAGTAATGATAGGGAATTCTTTAGTTAGAGGAACAGACAAGCATTTCTCCAACCATAGACTTGATTTAAGGATGGTACGATGCCTCCCAACTGTCAGGGTCAAGGATATCAGAGTATATGAGATACAATACCATAGTATCTTTTAGGGAGATTGAAAGGAGATTGAAAGGAGGTTGATAAAGCATAAATGGTCATCTCAGGATTACTCTCAATCTCCCATGCTAGCCATCACAGGAACAGGAGGGCTGACTAATTAAAATGTGGTTAAAGAACTGATCACAGGTATCACATTTCTGAGGCACTGGGATTGGTGAGTTCAAAATAGATGAACTGTACGTTAGCATGATGGAATATTCCTGCAAGGAGATCTGCTACAGTTGTTGGAAAAATACTGGCAGGGAAATATGAAGTTGACAAGGAACTCAGAATCATACAGTACAGAAGAGGTCCTCCAGTCCTTCAAGTTTGCACTGTCAAAAAAATACACCATCTATATTCCCTCCACTTTAACACGTAGGCCCATAACCTTGAACGTTATGACATTTAACTCTCATCCAAGCGCTTTTTAAAAGGTTGTGAGGTTGCTCGCCTTAAATACCCTCCCAGCAAGTACATTCCAGACCTCCACCACCCGCTGAGTGAAAACTTTTTTCTTCATATTGGATGAAAGCAAGAGGCTCGTAAGTGAAATTAGAAGAATGATGGTTATGAGGCACATGTCAAATAGTATCAGAATGCACAATAAAGCTTTCAAAAAAGAAGAACTAAATGCACTTCATGTACACAAGATGATTGATGATTTTAAGACAAATTGACATAAATGAAATGATTTAAATGCTATTAGAAATACATGGCTATGAGATGACCAAGCTTGGGAACTTTATGATGAAGGATATTATTTTGGAAGGATAGGCAATGATGAAAAATAGATGGGGTAGTGCCCTTCATAAGGGACAAGATCAGTAAGGAATGATCTTATATCAGAGGGTGGAACATGCACAATCAATCAGTTTAGGTGGCTCTGATGAACAGCAAGGGAGGGAGATGTTTATAAAGAACAGTTGAAGTAATGGGCATGGTAGAAATCAAAAAATCAGACGTGACTGTGATTTGGGTAATATAGTAAAAATTGGTTACTTCAATTTACATATAGACTGGATAAAACTAATCTACTCTACTGCTGTGGAGCATGAATTCCTGGAACGTGTATGCACTACGTTCCAGAGCAATGCATTGAACAACCAATGAGAGACTGGATTAGATTTACACACACACACACACACACACACACACACACTCACTCCCCCTTCCCCCACCCTACCCCCACACCTCCCCCAACCCCCACCCCCCCAACACACACAGGCTACCCCCAAACTCAGTCATAAATCTATGGGGTGAATTTTTGTTTGCAGGTACATTCTATTTTGTACAAAAAGCACACAATTTATAGACAGACAGTCAGTCAATGTGGTGTTATATAAACCCCCACTTCAGAAATAAAACCAGTCTGAAGCCAAACCAAAACACACACAGATTCTAAACGAGGCCTAACACTCAACATGCATTGTCTGACCTAAAATGTTACCTCTTCTTTACACAGATAAAACCTTTAGTTCTCTCAGGACAATTCAGGGATTTACATATACATATTAATCACTTAAAACCTTCTAACTGATTAAAGATTTAACAGCATCTTGGGTTTCTTTAATACATCCTCATCAGTGGTGTGACCCTTTGATCTTTTGCTTATAAATTCTGTGTTCTTTCTTACTTCACTTGAAGAAGCAGCAAGGCTCCAAGAGCTTGTGTTTTCAAATAAACCTATCGGACTACAAGCTGGTGTTGTGTGATTTCTGACCTTGTCCACCCAAGTCCAACACCAGCACCTCCACATCAAGGAATGGGAAGGGCGAAAATGGAGTCATAAAAAGTCATTAGCAAATAGGATTAAGGAGAATCTCAAAGCTTTTTATACATATATAAAATGCAAGAGAGTAGCAAGTAAAAGGGTTGGCCCACTCAAGGACAAAAGGAGGGAACCTATGTGTGGAGACAGAAGAGGCAAGGTGAGGTCCTAAATGAATACTTTGTGCCAATTTTCAACAAAGTGGAAGATAGTGTAAAAGGAGGGAGTGTCGAATTGCTGAGACAAGTTGCTATTAAAAAGCAAGAGGTGTTGTGCGTCTTAATAAGTATTAAGGTGGATAAGTCCCTGGGTCTTGATGAGATCTATCCCAGAATATTGGAGGAAGCAAGAGGACAAATTGCTTTAGCATTGACAGATATCTTTGTATCCTCTTTGGTCACAGGTGAGGTCCCAGAGGACTGGAGAAGAGTCAATGCAGTCTCATTGTTTAAGAAGGGTAGCATAGAAAATCCAGGAAATTACAGGCCTGTGAACCTCATGTCAGTGGTAGGGAAATTATTGGAAAAGATTCTCAGGGACAAGATCTATACGCACTTAGAAAGCAAAAGGACCTATTAGCAATAGACAGCATGGTTTTTGCAAGGGAGGTTATGCCTCACTAACTTTATTGAGATTTTTGAGGAGGTGACAAAGATGATTGACGAGGAAAAAGCAGTTGATGTTGTTCAAATGGACTTCAGTAAAGTTTTTGACAAGGTCTCTCATGGCAGATTGGAATAAAAGGTGAAGTCACGTGGTATCAGTGGTGAGCTGGCAAGATGGATAGCAACTGGCTTCGTCATAAGAGACAAAAAGTAGCAGCAGAAGGTAGCTTTTTGGAGTGGAGGGCTGAGGCTAGTGTTGTTTCACAGGGACCAGTGCTGGGACCTTTGCTGTTCGCGGTCATAAGTGATTTGGAGGAAAACGTGGTTGGCCTAATTAGTTAGTTTGCAGACAATACAAAGATTAGTGGAGTTGCGGATCATGAGGAGGACTGTCAGAGGATACAGCAGGATATAGATCAGTTGGAGGCATGGGCAGTTAAATGGCAGATGGACTTTAATCCAGACAAATGTGAGGTAATGCATTTTGGAAGGTCAAGTACAGGTCGAAATTATGCAGAGAATGGCAGAACCCTTAGGAGTGTTGACAGGCAGAGGGATCTTGGTTTGCAGGACCATAAAGCGCTGAAGGTAGTTAAGCAAGTAAAAATGGCCTATGCCATGCTTGCCTTCATTAGAAGTGGCATTGAGTATAAGGATAGACAAGTTATGCTGCAGCTTTATGGAACTTTAGTTAAGCAATACTTGGAATATTGTGTACAGTTCTGGTTACCACACTACCAGGAGGCTGTGGATGCTTTGTAGAGGGTACAGAAAAGGTTTACCACGATGTTGCCTGGTGTGGGCGATTTTAGCTATTAAGAAAAGTTGGATAAACTAAGATAGCAAGAACTGCAGATGCTGGAGTCAGAGATAACAAAGTGTGGAGCTGAGGAACACAGCAGGCCAGGCAGCATCAGAGAAATAGGAAAGCTGATGTTTCGGGTCGGGACCCTTCTTCAGAACCAAAATGCAACACCATGCATTTATCCAAATTAAACTCCATCTGCCATTCCTCATCCCTTGGCCCCTATTGATCAAGGTCCCTTTGTAATCTTAGATAACCTTCTTTACTGTCAACTAAAGCACACATTTTGGTGTCATCTGCAAACTTAGCAACGATGTCTCCTTAATTCTCATCCAAATCATTTATAGAAATGACAAACAACAGTGGACCCAGCACCGATCTTCAACCACCCACCATCAAGCAAATTTTGAATCAAATTGGCAAGCTCTCCCTGAATCCCATGGGATCTAATTTTACTAATCAGTCTACCATTTGGAACCCTGTCAAAAGCTTTACTGAAATCCATGTAGACAACATCTACTGCTCTGCCCTCAATCTTTTGGTTACATCCTCAAAAAACTCAATCAAATTTGAGACACCATTTCCCATGCACAAAGCGATGCTGATTATTCCAAATTAGTCCTTGCCTCTCTAAATACATGTAAATCCTATCTCTCAGAACACCCTCCAACAACTGATGTCAGACTCATCGGTCTATAGTTCCCAGGCTTCTCCTTGCAATCTTTCTTAACTAATGGCACATTAGCCACCTTTCAGTCTTCTGGCACCTTACCCATCGCTGTAGATGATACAAATATCTCTGCTAGAGGCCCCACAATTTTTTCCCTAACTTCACACAATGTCCGAGGATCAGGTTCCGGTGATTTATCCACCTTTACGTTTTCTAAGACCTCCACCACTCCTCTTCTATAATATGGATTGACTGGTCAAGAGTATGATGGAGGCATGTTCAATCAAAACATGCAAAAAGGCTTTAGACTTCTAACAGAAAAGGAAGAATGTACAGGGTTACAGGAAGAAGGGGGGTTGGAAATCACTAAGCGAGGTCTTCGTTCAGACAGTGGAGTTACGATAGTTGAATGGCTTCTTTGTGCTCAACCCAGTTTAGACATGGACCTCACGGACATGTATACCAAACAACTTTTGCCAAATTTTTAAACAGCTTTAAAGTATCCTTCTCTCCTCCCACCTGCAGTCTATTCCCTCATGCATGTGGCTTGAACAAATACCAAGTAACTAATTCTTTCCAAAAACTAGGGTCCAGCATTTGCTGCAATCTGTGAGGTATTGTATTGTATTCACAACTTTGGAGGAAAGAAAATTTCTCATGTTTTGTCGTGAAGTAATGTAAATGCAAACCACAGAAGTTTGTGAACTGAGAGCTGATGTAAACAAACAAAACCAAAACTAAGCCCTCCACAAAATTACCACACAGTCATTTCAATACCTGTTCGGTTTGTTGGTCGGGCAGGCTGGGATTCAGGTGAAGTGAGACTCTGTCGTCTGCCCACCTCTTCTGAAGGTGAGGTTGGTAGAGAAGAAACAGGCGGGGTCTGTGCCCGTCGACTAGGCAGCAATGTGGTAGTTGGATAACTGGAGAACATTTGGCTGAGAGGAACAATGTGATTGATAATTTTTTTCACAATAAAGATTACAACAGCAACATGAACACATGATCATAAATGTTACTACCTTCAACTGTTCTAATTCTTCTTTCTTGATTCTTAGAGTATCACACATTGCTGCAAACATTCAATATTTGAGTCTAATATTGCTCACAACCTGTCAGAAATTTCTTAACCAAATGAAAGGCCAGATTTTATTTTCTTTACATATTCCAATTTAGTTTAAAAACTATGAAATTAAAGTTAAAACAATGAAACAATGGTTTTCAATCACAAGTCAGATTAAATATAACAGCACATACCGTAAAAGGCTGAGTGGCATTACACTGGGCGACTCGGAGGCAGGCACAGTTTCTGTGTCAGTGACGGGCGTAGTTGCAGTGGTGGTGTCCTCAAGAGAGCTGCTCATGAATGAAGTGGTGCTGGAGGCAGAAGGACTTGTGGTAACAGGTGTTTGAGCGTGCATTGCAGCATCTATTTCTTCAGGCTGCTGAGGGGCATCTGTCAGGAATTTATAAGGGTAGTAATAAACCAGTAAACCACTATTTGTGTGCTTCCAAATAAAATGTAATATTGCAAGTCCTATGTGGTTTAATCATATTCCACTACATAAAGGGTCTGAACTGTACAAATGTATGAAACTTGTGTATAACCTATGAAGCTAGCTTGGTTGTTCCATATAGGGATAATTTAATTGTTTAATAACTCAATATACACACTATAGCCCCATATCCCTTTATTTATTTGGTAAACAATTATTTATAAATTTTAAAGCTAAAATCGATAATAGATCAATCAAATTTTGTTTGTGAGAACTCCAAACTTCAACTGCCCTTCACTCAACAGTCTCGCTTTAATTCTTACAAGATGTTCCCCCCACTTCCAGACGTCCTAACTAGCATAAAAAAAATTCTCTCCACTTGTCCTATCTGGCCCCCATACAACTATGTTGCGCACTGAAAGAAAAGTTTGCAGTCAGGAGAACTTTGGAAGATTATATTTATACTATGTTCTTAATTAAAGTACTTTTCTTTTAAATCCTTCGTTGGAAACCAGTGGTCCGGAGGATCAGTCACTCCTTAGAGTCATTATTTTCTTGAATACTGTAATAATATTTACATCAAAATTGGTGACTCCTGGTCCCTGACTCAACAACAGTTTTCTTAACATGATGTTTTTACTTCCACTGTGAATACTGCTGCTAAGTAATTATTCAGATGTCATTCTATCCTATTTCCACATCGACTATTACTAGTTTTCAAAGGGCTATGTTGTTCTCGACCTCTAATTTTTACTGATACAGTTGTAAAATATTTAGGAACACAACCTAGGAGCAGAATTAGGCCATTCAGCAAGATTGTGATTGATCTGATTTTCGCCTTGACACCACTGGTCCTCTATGTCGATCGTAATGCCTACATCTCTTGTTCAAAAATCAAATTCAACCTTCAATATATTCATAGACTGAGGCCTCATTATTTCTGCAGAAGCAAATCCCACAGACCAACAATCTTTTGAGAGAAAAGAAATCTCATCTGCCTTAAAAAGAATGATCTCTTAAACCGTGCCCCTAGTTCTAGTCTCCCCATAAGAGGAAACATTTGTTGTGTAATAAAAGCAAATCACTGCGGATGCTGGATCTGAAATAAAACCAAAGTGCTGAAGAAATTCAACCTATCCGCAGCATCCGAGAGAGAAACCAAGTTAAAGGTGAGGGCCATGACCATTCTTTGGAACATTTTTCCTGCATCTGCCTTAGGACCTAACAGGCTTCAGTAAGACACAGTCTCATTCTTAGTGATAGGAAGACCATTGAATGTTGAGGGAAGAGGTTAGATTATTGCTAATTGGAGATGGTTCTTGTGGTATGAATTTGGCTTGCCTCTTTTCAGCCCAAACCTGGATCTTGTCCAGGTCTTGATGCATTTGGACAACCATGTTAGTATTTTATACATTTCAATCAGATCCCCTCTCATCTCCTAAATTCATGTGAATGCAGACCCAGTCCAACTAACAGCTCTTCATGCTCTCATCTCAGTTTCATGCCTTCTGCTCCAAGCACAGACATACCCAATTTATGAACAATCGACTAATGAATGCTCGTACCTATGAATGCAATCTCTTACAGGGTTATAACTCCCCTGAACTTACGAATGGCTGCTGTATATTGACCTGAGTTGTGTTCCCACTTGCATACAAATCATTATGCGAACAAATACGAG